AAAGGGGCGTTTGAAGCAGGAGTGAAATGCAACAGCGAAGTCACACTCGAGCGCAAGTGGGGTTGCCACACTTTGCGATGTGTGTACCAGGGCCTCCAGGAAGCCTCAGGAGGCCCGACTTGGATACCAGAAGAGGCTCCAGGAGGCCCCAGGATTGGGAGTGTTGTGTGTGTGTGTGTGTGTCATGTGTGCTCTGTGTTGTGCGTGCTTTTTGCGCGTTGTAGGTGTTGTGTGTGTGTGTGTGTGTGTGTGTGTTATGTTTGTCTAGCGTGTGATGTGTTGGGCGTGATTTGTGTCTCTGTGTGTGCATGTAGTTCTGAGGACCCAGGAGGCCCCAGGCGGCCTCAGGAGGCCCCAGGAGACCCCAGGAGTCCCCAGGAGGCCCCAGGAGGTTCCAGGAGACCCCCAGGAGGCCCCAGGAGGTTCCAGGAGGCACCCAGGAGGCTCCGAGGCGGGGTCTGGGGTACCAGAGGGTACGTCGGGGCTCGATTTTGGGAGGATGTTTCAGGCGAAACCGCCATTCTCTGAGAATCGGAGTCACAATTATTGAAGTTACCATGTGTTTTTGAAGGTTTTATGTTAAACGTTGAAATTCCCATGTGTTTTTGGACCCTGACGTCACGATCTGCGTGAGGGGTGCCACCGATTTTCAGAATTTCGAGGATGTCCCTAGCGAAACGACCAGAAAAATCGTGGACGCGTACGCATTAATCGCCTCTGAGCTCTACTCTCTCGGAGAGGTGCGTATGATAATATGTATATATATGTGTATATATATACACATCTATAGATATATACACATATAACTAACACTTCTCCTGGGCAGCGGAGCTGGGGAAGTGTCTTAACATGTCACCTAATTGGGTTGGGTTTATAATTCGACCCCTGGTTCAGAGCCCAGATTTGCCGGGGAAAAAAGTGGTACATCATCATGTGTGCTTTATCCACCCACCTCCAGAGAGTTCAAGACAAATGGTCGCCAACCCAGGTTTTGCGCCAGGGGCTGAATTTCGGTAACATGTGAAGTCTGTGCCAGACGGCTAAGCTGATGGGGGTACCCGTTTGCTGACCTCTTTGGGACCAAGAGCACCCCAAGCGAGAGACCAGGCCGGATGCTCTCTCCTTTTGTAGTTCGGTTCGCTCCGCTGTAACCCATGATCTTTCACCTTCAGTCGGTAGCTGGAGGGCAGGGTGTACAGTGCGCCCAGGGACTGAAGGGGGGTGGCTCGTGGCCGCGAGGGCAGTGGTGCCCGCAGACGGGCGCAGGATTGGTGGTTGGCTGGGAAACCGTACAGTGTAGACGCTGAAGCAATGACCGTTTTGGGCTGAGGAGGAGGAGGAGGAATGGGCGGTGGGGGTTCCTGTGGGGGCGCGGAGTGTTTCGCGCTGCGCGTTTTTGGCGGTCTGGGCCTCTGCCTTCGTCCTCGTCGTCGTCCTCCTCGTCTTCCTCGTCCCTCGTCTTCCTCGTCCCTCGTCTTCCTCGTCCCTCGTCTTCTTCCTCGTCCTCGTCCCTTGTCCTCCACCTCCTCCTCACCTTCCTCTTCCTCCTCTCTCCTCTCTCCTCCTCCTCCTCCTCGTCCTCCTCCTCTTCTTCTCTCCTCCTCGTCCTCCTCCTCCTCTTCCTCCTCCTCTTCCTCTCTCCTCCACCTCCTCCTCCTCCTCCTCCTCCTCCCTCCTCTCTCCTCTCTCCTCGTCCTCCTTCTCCTCCTTCTCTCTCTTCTTCTCCTCCGCCTCTCTCCTCTCTCTTCCCCTCTCTCTTCCCCTCTCTCCTCCTCCTCCTCCTCTTCCTCCTCTTCCTCCTCTTCATCCTCCTCCTCCTCCTCCTCCTCCTCCTCCTCCTGAGGCACTGAGGCACTGACGTATGTAATCCACCGTGCAAAAGTAGCCCTCTTCCCACTCCTCTTCCTTCTCCTCATCCTCCTCCTCCTCCTTTTTCCTCCTCCTCCTCCTCCACCTTTTTCCTCCTTCTCCTCCTCCTCCTCCCTTCTCCTTCTCCTTTTGAGGCACTGAGGCACTGGCGTATGGAATCCACCGTGCAAAAGTAGCCCTCTTCCCACTCCTCTTCCTTCTCCTCCTCCTCCTCCTCCTCCTCCTCCTCCTTCTCCGCCTCCTCCTCCTCCTCCTTTTTCCTCCTCCTCCTCCACCTTTTTCCTCCTTCTCCTCCTCCTCCTCCTCCTCGCTCCTCCTCCTCCCCCTCCATCTCCTGCTCATGCTCCTTCTCCTCGCAATCGTCCTCCTCGTCCCTCGTCCTTCTTGTCCCTCGTCCTTCTTGTCTCCTGGGGGGCGGCGCGAGAGCGCGATCGCGCATCGAGCAGCGCGAGGCACGAGAGCCCTTGGGGCAGGGCGAGTTGTTGAACCGTTCCTTCTAGCTGGGGGGATCTCCCGGGCTTGCGGGGTATTCAGTGCTGTCAGCCTGTCAGCGAACCACATCTCATCCATAGCAGATGGCGGTGGGTGCCGCTCAGGTCCCACGTGGATGAGGCTATCGGCCATGCCCACGGTTACGGGGCTTAGATCGAGCGCGCCAAAGTGTCGCAGGGTCATGCTGGGGGAAATGAGTTCCCGCATTATGTTGTTTTGTGTTATCGTTATCTCTATATGTGTATGTATTTGCTTATGTGTATGTCTATGCATATGCATATATATATATATACACGTATACGTATATGTATATGTCTATGTATATGTATTTGTATGTGTACCTGTATAGGTATGTCTATATGTATATGTATATGTTTATGTATATGTATATGTATAGATAGGTGTTTATCTCTCTCTCTCTCTCTTGCTGGATTGTTCTTTATCACCCTCCCTATCTCCTTACATATATGTATACGATGTGAAATGTCCATCTCTCTCACTTTTTCTCGCTTACTGGGAATCTCTGGCACAATTTTGTGGTTAGGTTTAGCTTTTGGTGCACCAGTTTCCCGAGCCGCGTGCAGCCGCGGCGACGACGAAGGCCCTCGAGGGCCAGGATGCCTCGATCCTCGAGGTCCGAGGTTCGCATCCCTCGGCGCGAACCTTTCAACGGGTTCCGGCCTGGCCCCTCCACCTCCTTTGCTTTGCTTCTGCACTCCCTCCAGTGCTCGTGCCCTCCACCTCCTCGCACTTCGCATGCTTGCCCCTGCGCGTGGGCCCGTCACGGGGCAAACGGGTCCCGCAGGGAAGTTTTCGCCGTTTTTAAGGTTCTAGGGTTTGCAGGGATTTATGGCAGGCCCCGGGACCATCAAAAAACGACCTGGGATCAAAGGCTGGTCCACGAGGGCCGTCCGTGCGGTCCGAAACCCGTCTCTTGTGGGACCTGTTTACTTCATGGGCGACCTCCAGTGGATATCTTTCGGCGGCGAGCCCAGGGGGGGAGTGGGGGGGGCAGGCCTTCTCAGAAGGCGGCGGGGCTTCTCAGAAGCCTTCTGGCCTTCAGAGAAGCCCTCCGTGTCTTCGGGGGAGGCTTGGACATCTTCTCAGAAGGCCGGAGGCCTTCTGAGCCTTCTCAGAAGGCCCGCCCCCTGTCATTTCCCCCCTCGGCTCGCCGCCGCCAAATCTTGCGGGCAGAGCCAACGGGCACTGCGCTTTAGCACTTGATCGGCGGTGTGGCGCGCCACAGGTGCCACAGAATGGTCGCCGTCATCCCTGCCGCGTCCGTTGCCATTATCCTGCGGGCTGCGCCCGGCGTCCCGACGCCCGCCTGCCAGCGCGACGTTTCCCCGAACAGTGCGCGCGCCAGGTGTTCCGTTGAAACGCAGCGCCACAAAGTGGCCCCGCCTTTGGCGCAACCTGTGGCGGAACCATCGACGCAACCTATGGCACGCCCTGAGGGCGCAACCTAGGGCGCAACGTAAGGCGCGATTTGTGGGGCGCCCTGGGTGCGCAACCTATGGCGCAAGCTATGGCACGCCCTGGGGGCGCATCCTATGGCGCAGCTTACGGCTCAACCTATGGCGCAGGTAATTGTACGCAAGCACAACGTGTGGTGTAACGCATCGGGCAAGCCATGGCGCAACCAGCCGGTGCACTCTCACAATATCATTATGACTACTACCACTGTCCTCCCTCCATTCTCCCTGTGCTGGTGCAAGGGGCTGGACTGGGCGAGACCTGCACGCGGATGTGGCCGCATGTCCTTCCAGCGCTCGGCCCTCCTACCTCGCGCGGCTGGTCACGCCAGCCCCCCGCATGTGTATCCAGCAAGTGGGCCCCAAGCGCTGCTGAAGCTTTCGGCAACTGGCTGCGGACACGGCGGCGGCGGCGACGGCGACGGCGGCATCGGCGGCGACGACGACGGCGGTGACGGCGGCGGCGGTCACCTTCACCGCCGCCGCCGCCGCTTGCCGCCGTCGGCGTCGTCGCCGTCGCCGCCGCCGTCGTCGTCGTCGTCGTCGTGGTCGCCGTCGCCGCCGCCCGTGTCGCCGCCGCCGCCGCCGTCGCCCCCCCGGTCGCCGTCGCAACTGACGGCGACGACGACGACGCACCCGCGCACGCTCCAGCCGTCGACCCATGTCTCAAGGGCCTTGTGCCTGTGCAGGGAGCTCCTGCTTCCTGTATTCCCTAGGCTGCCGCCGCCCCGCGCGCCCCCACGGTGCGTGGTTTACACCCCGCACAAAAAACCGTACACAAGCTTTGTGGTGCACACGTGCCATGTGGTATACACAGGCGCCACGGTTCACACTCCCATGATGTACACAGTCGCAATGGAGTGCACAGGCGCTGTGGGCTCAACAGGTCCGAGCGCTTTTTGAACCAGAAAAACTAAGATCCACAAGCAGCTCACATAATGAAAGGGCCACGGTTGGGCCCCGAGCGATCTTCTGGACTTTCGCTCCGCCGGTACCTTACAGGTGCACACAAGCTTTGTGGTGCGCGCTTGCATTCTGGTGCAAACACGGGGCGTTGAAACAGCAGCTGCGGTGCACGCGGGCGCCGTGGTGGCACCAACAGTGAGATGTACAAGGGCGCTGTGGTGCACCCGCTTGTCAATGATGTGCTCAGTCGCCGTGGTGCACACACATGCCATTTCTGCCGCAGTTGTGGTGTACTATGGCATCGCGGTGTACAGAGCCTGTGTAGTGTGCACAGGCACGGTCGGCTTCGACGACGACGACAGCGGCGACGACGACGACGACGAAGCCTACCGTGCCGACAGTTGTGCTGGTAATAAGTACCAGGGCCCGTGCGAGGGCCCCGCCGCGCGTTACCGTTACCCCCAACTTGGGGCCGGACCCCCCCCCCGCAACGGGCGTTACCCCCCCCAATAAAAAAACGAGCTCAGTTCAGCCTCGATTTTTTACTCGCTCCCGGACGCCTCGTCACCGGGTGCGAGCTCGAGAGGCTCATGGGGCACATCACCTCCGCCGCGATGCTGCAGCGGCCGATGCTCTCCCTGTTCCACGCCATCTACGAGTTCTGCCGGCGTTCGCGTGACAGGCGGCAGCCTGTGTGGACCTCAGTGAAGCGGGAGCTCGCTTGGTCCAGGGCGCTTCTTCCATGCGTGACCGCCTTGCTGAGTCGCTCCTGGTGCGACCGGGTCACGGCCACCGACGCCTCGCCGTGGGGGTTCGGCGTCGTGGAGCAATCGTGGCCCGTCGGTGACGTGCGACGAGCTGGCGGCCTCTCGGAACGCAGCCGCTTCCGGGGGGCCCTGGCGGCGGACTACGCCCCCCAGGACACGCTGGGCGAGCAGCAGCTCCTGCGCGCCGCCTCGGCGGACGTGGTGGCGGAGGGCGCCCCCGCGCACTTCGAGGAGGTCCCGGCGGGGCGGCTCCTGGCTGAGCCTTGGGCGGTAGTGGCCGCGCGGCGCTGGCGCCGCGCCGCAGCCATCCACGTCCTCGAGGCTAAGGGGGTGCGCTGGGCCGTGCGCCGCTTAGTTCGGAATACTCAGCTGCATGGGCTCCGGCATCTCGTCCTGGGTGACAACCTCGGGGTGGTATGGGCGTGTGAAAAAGGGAGAGCCGCTCACTTTGCCCTCAACGGGGTCTGTCGAGAGTTGTGTGCGATCTCGATTGCGACGGGGGTCCAGTTCAGGTTTCGGTGGATCCCCTGTGAGCTCAATCCGGGGGGCGCTCCCTCGCGGAGATTCATGCCGGGGCATCGGGTGCAGCAGGACATGGGCACGCAGCACGACAACCACAGAAGATGCTCACCATCCGTAGACATCAGCTCGAACGACGACGTCAATGCCGGCTCGGGCATTCTGGAACAACCCCTCCTTCGAGAATCGCGCCCGCGACGCCGCGCAGCCCCGGCCGGGCGGGTCACCCGGCGCGCCTCAGGATTGGGAGGCGGGCGCTGGCCGCCCAGCCTTTCGGGCGCCCGCCGGGGTTGGACATCCCGGGCGCCGGTGAGCGCCGGGCCCGTCGGGCACAACGCGCGGCGGGCGCAGCTGTGTCCGCGGCTCTCGCGGCTGGCCGCCAGCCGGGTGCGCCCCGTCACGGAGCGCACCTACCTGCGGGCGCTGACCATGCTGTTGGGCTGGCTCAGTCTGAAGGCGCTTCCGGAGTGGGCGCCCCTGCAGTGGGACGGCGCCCTGGTCGAGTACGCCGAGTGGACCTTCGACCGCGGCATGGGCAGAGAGGCGTTCTCGCGCACCCTCTGTGCTGCGGCGTGGGGGAAGCCCGCGCTGGGGGTCCCCGCGCGGCGACTCTCCCCCTCGGCCCACTCGTCGCTAGCCGGCTGGACCCGGCTACAGCCAGGGCATTCGCGCCTGCCGCTTCTTCGAGTGCTGGCGCTGGCGTTCGCGGCCGTGCTGGCTTCGCTGGGGAAGCCAGACCCCAGGCTGTGCATCCTGGCGATGTTCGAGTGCTACCTGCGCCCGTCGGAGGCCACGACCTTGCTTGCCAAGCAGCTGGTGGCGGGGTCCAGCAGAGGTTTGTGGTTCCTGCGATGCCCGCTACTGATCCTGCATCCAGAAGAGCTGGCAATCAGCTCCAAGACGGCTGAGTTCGATTCCACAGTGGTTTTCGATCTACCCCGACATCACTGGATTGGACGTGGCGCTCTACGCCTTCAGTCCCTCCCCCGCGAGGACGAACCATTGTTTCGCCTCTCCTACTCACAGCTCCTTGCCGACTTCCACGTTGCCTCTCAGCACCTCGAGCTCGGCGATTGGGGCTTCGCGCCTCACTGTCTGAGGCGCGGGGGCGCGACGCACGATCGCGCAGAAGGCTGCCGATCTCTGCTGGAGGTCCAGAGGCGCGGGATGCGGCGAGCCGCCTCGTCGGTCAGGGGATGCGACAAGGCAGGGCGGCTAGCGCTGGTGCTGCGGAGCCTCAGCAACGCCCAGAAGGACGACTGCGAGCGGTGGGCGGCGGCCGCCCCGCGGCTCTTCGGCAACGCCGCAGCCCTCCGTGCAGGTAGGTTTCGTGAGCGACGAGCATTTCTCGATCTCTTTTCCGGGGCCGTCGGGCTCGCCGCGGAGCTGAAAAAGAGGGGGCACGCTGTAGTATCAATCGATCTGCTCCTTGGCCCTGAATGCGACCTGCTGCAGGGTGATGTTTTTTTTTT